GAAACTTTCGGTTCTCCAGAGCGAATTATAACAGATCGTAATGCTGCTTTTACTTCTAATGATTTCAAAACATACTGTAACGAAGAAAACATAACACACTATGTAATAACTACCGGTCAGCCGAGAGGAAACGGTCAAGTTGAGAGAATACACCAAATAATAATAAACGTGCTGAGTAAACTCACATCAGACGATCCTGCAAAATGGTACCGACAGATTGGCAAAGTGCAACGTTGTTTAAATGGGACTTACCAAAGAAGTATTGGGATGACACCCTTTGAACTGCTTACTGGAATCAAAATGAGAGACAAAAGTGATGATATTCTAAAGTTGATAGAAAAGGAGAATTTAGTATACTTTCAAGACAAAAGATCAGAACTTAGAGACAGAGCAAAGCAAAATATTCAGAAAATTCAAGAAGAAAATCGAAAAGTTTACAATCGCAAAAGACGAGAAGCTATACAGTATGAGATCGGAGACCTAGTAGCGATTAAGAGAACACAATTCGTTCAAGGCTATAAGCTACATCCGAAGTATTTAGGACCATATCAAATTATACAGAAAAAAAGGAATGACAGATACACCGTGAAGAAGATAGGAGACGGTGAAGGACCTATTAACACCACTAGCTCCGCTGACATGATGAAACCATGGTCTAATGGTGATGACGAACAAGAACCGCATTCATCCGGGCCAGATGAATAATGCAGGATAGCCGTGTGGGATTCTCATTGTTCTTATTTTCTTTTTATGTCAATTTTATAATGTTGATAGATGTCACTGTGAAGTAAAATTAGATGATGGGTGAGTTGTCAAAAGGAGAAGTAAAGGATCGTACGACGTTAAGATTGTTTTAATTATTTTGTGTGAATTTCTGCGGTAATCTGCACCCTACCATTCATAAATCCCACATATATATATATATAAATGAATTGCTGTTCGTTAGTCTCGCTAAAACTCGAGAACGGCTGGACCGATTTGGCTAATTTTGGTCTTGAATTATTTGTAGAAGTCCAGAGAAGGTTTAAAAGGTAGATAAATATGAAAATTCTTTTTGTTTGTTTTAAGTTTATTTTATACAAAAGTTTAGGTCTTTTACTTATCGATTGAGGTACTACGAATTCTGCCGGGTCAGCTAGTTAATATAATTTAATTGTTAAAAATAACATAGTTTATGATGCTCAAATAAATATAAGTATAATTTTATGAGGTAGTCAAAGTTGTGAGTCCACCCATATGCCGCCTAAGATACTTAATTTTGCCGCGAAGTAATCCCCGTTAATGTACCTTACTAACTACTGTTGTTAGTGTAATTGTGCACAGGAAAAATTTTCAAGATTGTGTATTTAAGGTTTTGAAATCTAGTTTATCTTTCACGTGGATTAGCTAATCTAGCACAATGGAAGTTCAAAGGTCAAGCCAGTTAATAAGATATGAGGCTTATCTCGAGATAATGACGAAGTTTGTAAATAATCTTCCAGTTTCTCCCTCCATTAGCAACAAAAACATTGGGCTCATCGACTTCACTCAAACGTGCCTATTGAGATTAACCAAGTTGGACCGAAAACAAGTTAATTAACTTCAGTAGCTGGGAGTTCGTGACTGATGATGTTTATTGGATTGCCATCCAGCTTATCGATTATTGGGCGGGCGAATGCATTTGACCAATGCCCATAATTACCTATCCGAAGTAAAACAATAATTGATAGGCAGAGTAGTAATGAAGGCAGTGCGAACGATAATTGTTTTGAAATTGATTTGTTACTGAATTCACGATAACGTCAAACGAATTTCATACTTTTCACATTTTATCTAACTGCAATAAGTGCTTATAGGACAACTAGCTTTTGCCCGCGTCTTCGTTTACGTAGAAAGTGAAAATATTTTTGAATAATAGAATGATGAGGAGCTGTTTAAAGTACCAAAATCACGCTTTTTAACCGACTTCAAAAGAGGAGGTTATCAATTCGACCACCATTTTTTTATCTATGTATGTTCACCGATTTCTCGAGAACAATGATGACCAATTCTGATAATTCTTTTTTCCTTTTTTTTGTTCTAAAGGGTACACTTCCCGAATGGTCCTGTAATCATCAAGACCTGATGATGGAATCCTGGAAAAATCCACAGAAATCTATAGTTTTCAAAGCCTATCTTGAAATGATTTAGGTGTTTCTTGTTATTCTTCTTATCCCGTGCCGTCGCGCACCGGCTGGCCGGCGCCTTGTACCTCAATATTATGCGCTTGATCTTATTTTGCTGCGATGTTATTTTCAAGCTGCGATATCTTCTCATACTCATTAAAATACTCATAGTGAGATCCTCATTAAAATCAAGTGAGGGGAAATTGCTTTAAAATTAAATGCTTGTAATGAATAACGTGTTGATTTGGATAAGGATTAATATCATCTTTATTAAAACACCATCAAAAATAATGCTTTATTTTAGAACAAAAGTTAGCATAAAAAACGTTATAGTGAGCCAACCTTAAAATATGGACATATGCTGTTTCAGAATTCTTTTAGAACTTTTAAAGGGGAACAATTTTGTCATACATTATTTTAGCCAAACTTTAACCGTTTCCGTAGCGCACGCAGCGGAAGCTCTCAAAAGAGAAAACAACCCAATTTTTCAATAATTATTATTCAAAAGGTTTTATTGACTTTTTATAAACTGAGTTCAACCAAATACGAGTGATGACGGAAACTACCGCTCAGCCATCCGTGGCAGCGTGCGCCGACATATATTAGGTATATACAATTCTTATTTTTACCTTTTGAGACTTTAATCTCCAAGCTCGTGTTTCTACGAGACTTTATTCCCAGATCTCAGTAGTGGTCGTGACCGCAGTGTAATACAGTCGAGTGCCCTCAGAGGAAATGCTTTTTCTCGGTAAGAATTCGTAATTTTTCGGCGCGTAGAATGATTTCCCCACTGCATTCATGGCCGAGAGGGCCACTACTGCTTACGCATCCGAGGAGAACGACCATTTTCAAAATCCTGTTTCTGAAATTAGTTCACGTCCAACAAAAGTTTTTTTTTTGTATATTGCGTTAAAATTGAAAATCTTTCTACATAATTATTTTTTGAATCTTTTCCTTTTCTATTACTTGTTTGTGAATAAATGAGGATCAGTACCATAGTAATTATTTAGACTTTTATTGTCACACAATATTAACGTAATCTATGAACTACCTTGCTGATAGGCCAAGGGTAAGTGTCTTTAAAATTTTAATAACATATTGAAACTTCTATCTGCCTAACAAGCTGACTACTTAAAACAAAAGGGCTCAAAGGAAATTAGAAAAGTTTTAATTGTCATTATCATTGCTCAAGAAGGCACGCAATTAAGGAGTTTGTTCACTTTCTTTGTAATTAATTGTTGAAATCATTAAAAAGTACATAGCCGATGAGTTGAAAGAGAGATAGGGCCGGAAATAATTTTAAAAGATACAGAAATACTGTTTTGCTTTGCATTCAATAAAAATGTAAACGATTTATTTAATCTTAATTAATAGGATAAAGAGAGAGTAAAAGCACTTACTATTTTAAGAAGAGTATGAATTGAATATACAATAATAACAAAAACATTTAGTTTTATTAGTATTGAATAATTAATTCAAAGCTATGCAGATTAAATGGTAAAATAAACATGAACTTGATATTTGGAGAAATAAAATTAGAACAATTAAATAAATAAAACCAATGTCTGTAATTCGCTAATGCTACTGTGTAACATTTCACCGTTCACCGGTTTTACAAAAAAATAAAATAATGTGTAATAAATGTTGTGTAACACACATTTTAGTTTTATATTATCCATCGAAAATATCACTCAGGATAATAAATAAGTTATTTTCGTCTTGATATATTGATGTGCTCGTAAAAAGCATTTCGATCAACGTAGACAAATTTGTTATTTCCCTACATGTTCATCTGCAAAGCTACAATCGTGAGATTCTCTATCAGGTCAAAATAACACATTTCCTTGAAAATCTTTTCAGGTTTACGTAAGGCCGATGCTTGGCTCATTCGATACGTCGACGTGTGTGTTAGCGTTTGATTAATGTTCTTCTGAATCTTTTCTCGCTGCCTCGATTTTAAAAAGTAACACGTTACGTTTTTGCTTGTTCGATATTTTGTGATGTTACTTTTGATTTATTGTCTATGACGTTGTGGCGGTAGCCATCATACAATCTCTATATATAAAAATGAAATGCTGTTCGTTAGTCTCGCTAAAACGTGAGAACGGCTGAACCGATTTGGCTAATTTTGGTCTTGAATTATTTGTGGAAGTCCAGAGAAGGTTTAAAAGGTAGATAAATATGAAAATGCTCGGAATTAAATAAAAATAACAATTTTGTTTTTCCTTTGATGTGTCCCCCATCGGACGGATTCCTTTTGTTTGTGTTAAGTTTATTTTCTACAAAAATTTTGGTCTTTTATTTATCGATTGAGGCACTACGAAGTCTGCCGGGTCAGCTAGTACAAATATTTGACACATGCCTGAATCTCGCTTACGACATTTTCAAGATAAGCTTGCATATATACATGTTCCGTACAACAACATTCGTATAGTCGATCTACCGAGAAATATCACCCGCTCGGTGGAAGATCTTCCCTTTGTCGTATACTTACAATGTACTAGTTTTCCGTACATACATGTGAATTTCTACATGTAAAAACTGCACGAAAAGCTGTTCGCGGTTCTACGAAAGGGAGATGTGCATTTAAACAAACAAGGAGACAGACACAAAATAATTCTAAAAATTTATATTATCGTTCCTTAGTTACCTTTTTTATTTTCTTCAATTGGAATCGCTGTTTTATTAAGACTAATTACGAAACAAAGCTCATCTTAGTTAAATATTTATTTAGTACCAACGCATAAAGCATATTTGCCTCGGGATTTCACTGAGGAATTGTTTGAGATGACCCGATGTCCGCGCGGGTAGGTACCACCCTGCCTATTGCTGCCGTGAAGCAGTAACGCGTGTCGGTTTGAAGGGTGGGGCAGCCGTTGTAACTATACTTGAGACCTTAGAAATTATATCTCTGTCTATGGGCTCCAGTAAGCACTTAACACTAGGTGGGCTGTGAGCTCGTCCACCCAAAGCAAAAAAGGGTGCGTGTACTAATGTACGCGCGTAAGAAGTTATACTTTATTTTTATTAAATTTATTCCTTTTTTTTTATATTAAATAAATAATAATAAATATTTAACGTTAATAATTTAATAATATTTAGTATGAATTATATTAAATAATAATTTTGTCATTTATATTACTAAATAATGAATGTTAATAACACTTCTTTTACGAGTGTACATGCACGAAAGTTCACCTGCGGCAATATTCAGACTCGCCAAGTTACGTCGGTCGTATTGTAATGAGCGATTTAGTGGGCAACTTCATTTCTGTTAATTTTGTGTCACGGTGCGCGCGCATCGTAAAATTTCACTCTCATCAATTTTTCGTAACGCGCCCAAAGAAGTATAACTTCAATAAAAAAAATGCTCCGATGTCTATGGGCATCGGCTTCATCAGGTGGGCCGTATGTTTACGAGTATTTGCCTAATAGCAATCTTTTTAAATGTCATGTATTCAAAATGAGCCAATTTACAATTTTCTAATTTCTGCTTTATTAAACATTCTGCCATTATAGTATATATCTATTACTAAAATATGCACGTGAAATTTTGATATG